GAGTAATCTTCCATTTCAGGGCAGTTTTGAGCTCAAACCAAACACTCCTATTGATTTGGTCTTTCTTATATCACACGTGACAATTATGGCCCCACTTTGGCTGAAATTCGTAGAATAACAATATCTGTGTGCATATGTGGAATTTTACTTTTCAAAACTCCAAATGTTTCACGTTGAATTGTTTTTCAATTTCACACTCCAACTATATATAGCATTATAGCCATATGGGACCAGTGTCATGTACCGTATGTACTCCGTATATGGGATCATTTATATGACCTTTTTTCCTTTAAAAAGATATACTCCGTCCAACAATGTTCGAATTTCAAAAAATGCATTATAATGTGTTATTATGTGATAAAAAACAAGTGATGTGATCATGCGACTATACAAAAAACAATCAACAGTTTAATACTCCATTCGTTCTATAATAGTCACATTAGAGTAGAGAATAATACTTTGGGTTAAAATGTGAAATATTTATGAGACGTTCTTTTTAGAAAAAGGATTCAACTTTATTGACATTTCTTTTATTCATATTAAGCGTTCTACGAATAGGGTGACTCATGAGTTAGCTCAAGCTGCATGTTCTTTGATTGAGCATCATATTTGATTTGGCAATCCTCTGATTATTATATTGCATGTACTTGACTCTAATCTCATTAATAAAAGTTAATTTATTTCCCAAAAGTATGTAGTTAATTTATTTCCCCTAAAAAAGTATGAGTGATGCGTAAAGTATGAAAATAAATAAGAAAAGGTGAGAAAAGATGAAAAGAATATAAAAAAGTAGGGTACAAATTTTCAAATATCAAAATTAGTCGAACATAAAAATTAATACTCCCTCCATCCCATTTTGTTTGTCTTACTTTCCTTTTTGGGTTGTCCCAAAATAGATGTCATGTTTCTCTTTTTGGTAAAAAAAATCTGTGATTCTTATCATTTCACTTCATTCTACTCAAATCTCAATCACAACTTTTACTTTTTAATCACTTTATTAATAGCCGTGCCAAATTGAAATGAGACAACCATTATAGGACAGAGGTAATATAATCCAACTATTGAAGAACGAATAAAATATCAAAGATATAATTTGAGTTATTTTATATAGAGCTATTTGTATATCAAAGTTAGTCAAGCAGATTCAAGAGTGTGTCATGAAATCATTATTGGATCTTGGTTTTTTTGGAAGAAATTGGATCAAAAGACAGAACATCACAAATACTATCGGGGGATTCTCTAACCAAATACGACAATCACACAGAACTAGCTACTCTAGCCAACTCATGAGCAACTTTGTTCGCTGATTGTCTAATAAGGATGAAGGTGATATTTGTGAACCCTCTACCAATGTCTCGAATGTCTTACGTCAAAATACCCACCGAAGAGATGCTAGAGCCAGTGTTAATCTCTGAAATAGCTTGAAGAGCATCCGACTCGACTTCAACGCAATCTAATCAATGGTTTTTCACCCAACTAAGGACCTCACGAATACTCAGAAGTTCACCGAAGAGACTTGCGGTTTTTATTTAAGGGAGGGATGTTTTAGTTATTTCAATTTAGTATAGCCTCTTTTTGTTCAAATTAAAAGTTGATTCTTTTTTTTTGTATTAAAAAGTCTATACTATTATTTTGGTCACTATTAAACACAAATGACTATCCGTCTATTATTTAACGGGTTTTTTGAAATCTATTGTTTTATATAGTAAAACACAGTTATGAATCGCTGACGTGTCAATCTATTATTGGACAACTAGAAGTGTTTAATATCATTATTTTAAGAACATTTAATTAATTTCAATTAATAAATATTTTCGGCTATTAGCTCGGCATCTATATGAGGCTGATTGTAAAAACACGTACAAATAGGACTCTTACTTAATTGGATATAGATTAATATCATTGATACATCATGTGTTTGATAAAATATTTCAGTCTGATAGGACTTTAATTTGGATCGGAGATACTCCCTCCGTCCCAAAAAGGTTGGCCAAATTTCCTTTTTTGGCCGTCCCAAAAAGGTTGTCCATTTCCATTTAAAGTAAGAAATATGTGGCTAAAGTTAATTCTCTCTCCTCTGCACAAATTTCAACCACACAGTTTTTACTTTATTAATCCACGTGCAAGTCAACATTGGCCAACCATTTTGGGACGGAGGGAGTACATTTTAGGAAACTAATTTCAAATATAGGTCCCTTTTGGTAACATTGAAACAAATTAATTCAACTAGGATGTTTTCTTTTGGACTGAAATTTGCTGGTCTGGTCTGGTCTGGTCTGTTTAAGTCTGGTCTGAACTGGTCTGATCTGGTCTGGTAAACGTCTGGTCTCTGTGTATTTTATAACTACGGAAGTCTGGTCTGGTCTGGTCTGGCCTGTTTAAGTCTGGTCTGGTCTGCTTGGTCTGGTCTGTTTAAGTCTGGTCTGGTTTGGGACTGAAAACAGTCCAAAAAAAAACATTCTAAAACTACTGAAATTTATGAAATACTGAATGAAATGGTTGAATCTTGTGAATTATGAGAACACATCATATTGAATACATGGACGATTTTGTCAATAAAATTAAGAAAACATTAAATTAAAAATAACTAAATAGGACTCAAATTTAAAAATCCCCTAAATAGGAGTTATTATTTGTAACTAGACAACAACACCCTTGAAGCTTGGAAATCGTACTGGTGCCTACCAGAACGCCGGACCACTGCCGGTCGCCGGTACCAGTCGCCGGTACCCGCCACCGGTCGCCGCCGGTTGCCGCCACCAGTCGCCGCCGGTCGCCGCCACCCCCAAAAACGGCCGCCGTTTCAGATCTGACTGCCGCCGCTGTACATATGGTTGTTGCCACTGCAGATGTAACGGGCGTCGTCATTCCACCGGCCGCCAACCACTGCCTTTGTAGATCTAGCCACCATCCCAAGTAAGCTGGCAATCCTGGCTTCAAACACTCAAATCTGGCCTGTATCATTGTGGATCTGGTTGTTGCCGACACAATGTAAAAAAAAATATCTAAATGCCAACATGAATCTAGAATGTCATTTTAATGTCATTTTCAAATAAAAATATCAATTTTTGTTGAATAAGAATGCCACTTTGATGGCATTTTCAGAGTTGAACTTGGCAGTTTTTACTAATCAAAGAAGAAATGGAGCATATGCAATGAAGTAGAAGAGGGGAAGAGAGAACTAGAGACGAGGGAGGGAAGGACGGGAAGAACAATCAAAGAAAAGGTAGAGAACATGATCTTCGAAGAAGAGAAGAAGATCTTCTGCAGCGGCGGACTTCGTGTCAATGGCGGCGATGACTGGACAGCGGCGTCGGACTTCGCGTCAACTGCGGCGGGCTTCGAAGGTGAAGGGAAGGCGAAGAAGATGTGAGGGGAAGGGAGAAGAAGCTGCTTAGGCAGAGAGGATGCGTAGGGGAGAAGAGATGCGCAGGAGGGGGAAAGAAGAATGCGCAGGAGGGGGAGAGATGAATGCGATGCGTGCGTTTAGAGGAAAAACAGGGGCAAATTTGTAATCTAATCCTATTTATGGCAAAAAAATTATGCATACTCCTATTTGGGAATTTCAGGAATAATTTAGTCTCATTTAGGTCAATAAATCTTAAAAATAGAGATGATCAAACGGGTTCTTAATATCATCCCACTACAAAATAAATACAATCGATGTAAATTAACCAATAAAAAAATTGCTAATAAAGTTAAAACGCCCCCCAAATTAAAATTTTACACCAAAAAAACACTATTCATAAATTTTGAATGAAAATATACAAAGTATTTCAATTTTAATTCAAGAAAATGTGAGTCTAATTGGCAGAGGTATTATATCATCAATTTCCATATAATTTTTAAGTATATTGATGTTTATTAAAGTTTTTAATCTGAAATTAACAAAAATTAAACCAATAAATTCACAACCCCGTTTTATTAATGTTTGAAATCTAATACTAACTTTATTAATATAGTTGTTAAATTTAAATAATTTATCCACATATATTTTTAAATAAATTGTCTAATAAACATTCTCTAATAAAGTTAAAACTCATATTCCTATATATTTTTATCCGTATAATTACGCAAGTAGGTTTCCTAACTTTGATAAGTGTTTATTAAAGTTAATATATTTATTTGTATTATTGTATCGTAATTTAGACTGCCTACTAAATGTTATTCAAAACCTTTAATTAACTTTAAAAATATTTAACTAAAACGTCATACATATACAATTTATTAATGTCGCTTTATAAATGAGGGTGAAAGTCGGCCTTAAAAAATATACACCGATTTTGTTCGATGTTAAAATTGTTAATTAAGAGTTTTGAGTAGAAATGGGTTGAACGTTTTGTTCAATGGAGGAGAATGATGCAATACAACAACTAATATTGGGTATATAGGAGAAGTCTTTCAAAATGTATAATTTTTATTTTAAAGAAATTTATAATATTTTCATTCTCCTCCAATTTTATTTGCATAGTATGACCCTTTTCAAGTAATGTGTTCATTAACAGAAAAGAATAATAACAATTTCAATAAGAATAAGTCTAAAATCAAAATAATAATAAATCACACGGAGTATATAAATTAATTTTTGAAAATCATATTTCTAAACAAAATATTAGTAAAGATATTCATTTTTAACGTAGCATTACAAATTCTATTAACAAGGTATGTAAATAATTTATAGTCTCAATCTATTGATAAATTATCACTTTAATTTGTATTAACATGATATTATACCGGGGCATGCCCGGGTGTTACACTAGTGAATATCTAAGATTAAGTAACGTAGTTACGTAGGGAGTATATAATGTGGCCTAACGTTTATATTAACTATTCTAACAATATTTTAGGTGAATTCGAGATGCACTCAGGTCTGAATTTTATGCATGTAACATGTATATGTAATACCAAGAATATATATGTTGAGGTTTATTCCCGAAGATCCGAAAGCCCAACACAAGCTTTGGATATTGTGGGGATATTGGGTTGGGTAGAAAAGTGTATAAAATATAAAACAGTGAGATATTATCCAACTCAGGAGCTTACTGGTATTCAATAATTATGCTATTACAATGGAACTACCCGAACGGTAGATGAGTATGAGAATACAAGGATAAGAGATGAAAGTATACTGCTAAGCTCTGAGTATTGAAATGCTAACCCTTTACAATGATCTAAACATGGGTATTTATACTAAAATGGGGATGGGTAAGGTACGGTGGACACGTGGCCGAATCCGGTAGGCTGTCACTTCTGCCATGTAAGCACCCATGCCCCCACTTGCTGCCGCCATGATCCAGCATTAAATGCGGCCTCCACTTGCTGATTGCCCGTTCGGGCGGGGTGTCCGGTGTGTGGGACCCCGTCATGGATGTCATTTTGTTACGGGGGTATCCCGAACGCCGATCGGGATCTGGGCATTGGCACTTTGGCGTAATTGTTTCCTGGAATGTTCAAAGTAGAAGCTTTATCCCGAATGCCGTTCGGGAATTCTTTTGGACTGCCTTGGGCCTGCTGCTTCTTCCCAGGTTTGGGCCTAGGGATATTGGGCCTGGACCTAATATCCCAACAATATAATAGTTTGAAAAATAATAAAAAAATACTAGTAGTAATTATCCTAAATAGGACTAAATGAAAACATATTTGCAAAAATAGGACTAAAAGCCTAAATCTTTAACAAATAAGACTAAACATTACTTTCTATCCTTAATATCTCTAATTTAATTAATTGTCCCCTAGTTCCCTTGGGTAAACGGGGCAGTCTGTTGGTGGCGGGACACTTCGGTGGTGGCGGCGGACGGTCAGGGGGGATTCTGGGTTTTTTGGCCCAACAAAAGCTTCGGCGGCAGTCAAAATCTGCGCGGTAGCCGGAATCTGGGCGGTGAAGGCAGAGCTTCGGCGGCCGGCGATGGCAGTGGTTAGGCAGTAGCCGGGCCGGTCACTGTTTCGGGTCGGGCCACCAGGCCCGAGTCCACCCCTAAGGGTAACCAATTAAATGACAACTTTAACTCAATTTTAAATAAATATAAATCCATTTATTTGAAATTATCATATATGTGAAGTGATTTTTATTATAACTCATCCATAATCTCTATCTTTTCAAATTTGTTACTTCCAAACAAAAAAGAGGGTTTCTTCCCCTTTCCCTTCCCTTCCTTCCTAATGATTAACCTTCAAAACCTTTCCCTCCCCTTTCGACTCCCAAACATACCCTAAAGTAAGCAATAGTACAATTTCATAAAATACTTACAGGGACACTTATTTTGATACATAGAGAGTAACTCATAACACTATATCTTCACCTTCTCAGTTTTGTCGGATTCAACGTGTTGAGAGTTATCTACTTGGCTAGATGTAGGCATGGACCCGGTTCGGGCCGCCCGGCCCGGGACCGGCCCGGCCCGCCACTGTGCGAGCCCGGAACAGGCCCGGTTCTCGGGTCCGGGTCCGGGTCGGGCCTAGGCCCGGTGGGGTGGGCGGGTCCGGGCTCGGGCCTTGTATTTGGCGAACCGGCCCGGCCGGGTCGGGCCCGGGCCCGGGCCGAAATGTTTTTTTTTTTAATTTTTTTTCCTTTTTTTGGGGTTAGCCAAGTTGGGCTTGATGGTTAGGAGGGGTTTGGGGGTTTGGGGGGGGGGGTGTGTGGGGGTGAGTGGGGGGGTTAGGAAAGCAAAAAAAAAAAAAAATTATAACCGAACCGGAGGCCCGGCCCGGCCCGGACCCGGACCGGACCCGGTGGCTACCCGGGCCGGTCCCGGGCCTTCCTTCCCAAAAAAAAAAGCCCGGCCGGGCCCGGCCCGGAACCGGAACCGGCCCGGCCCGGGTCCATGACTAGCTAGATGGCATAGAAGCGTATGCAAATGATGTAATGTCTGTCCTTTCAAAAACTTTCCACTTTGGTTGAATGAATGTCTATGAGTAAAGCATCTTTCGTTATTTGGTAAATAAATTTCTATAAGTTTACTCTACTACCTTCAAGTAATAATGACAATACAGTCTCAAACAATGTCAAAACAATATGCCACAGTAACATCAGTAAGAAGACATTTCAAGAATTCGAAGATAAATAGAATTATTTCCTTAAAAGGTGTGCTATTCAAACAGGGAAATGTAACTAGGGACCAATGCAATATGATTTTGACGATATTTGGAATCAAGTGGAAAATCATTGTGGTGGATCATTTGAAGCAGCAACCTATTGAATAGGCCGCTCTCACAGTTGACCGTTGGTCCAGAGGTGAATAACATATGTTCAAAGAATCTTCCTTGCAAAATAAAGAGAACTTGGCCCATGTGGAGTTGTTACTACAGCACCTTGTTTGGGCCTCGATCTTGCATAATGATGATGCTAAAACAGAAATAGTAACAACTTAATTTTGTAGGACTCTTTTTGGACTGAGTTAACCAAACATCAATCACATGAAAAATATATCAATCAAACGCTAATCATATTTTTTAATAGGCTAATTGCTCAAATTTCACTTTGGACAACCAATTTCAGAAAATACAGACAGTTTTCTGCATCCAACATTGAGTGTCTGATTGAAGGAAAAAATGATGTCATTTTAGCAAAAAATCTCACTTACAACTTCCCTTATATAAAGTTGAAAACATGTTTTGATCCATTCCAAACACCGTCAATAATGCTCTATTTGGAGGCCTCAAAGTTAGCTAAAAAAAATGAAAATTGCAATTTTAAACCGCTGACTTTAGATAAAAAAAAAACAATTACTGTTAAAAACGGCTGCCCCAAGTCTGCTAGGAACTTATTTGTATGGATTAGTTTTGGCGGAGACTTTCATTTGAATGTTAGTCATCAACGAGTCCTTATGCCAAAAGGATAGATATAGGAATAAGCAAGTTAAAGAGGGGGGAAGTAGAATAAGATAATTACCTCAAGGGTTAGTTCTACTCTTCAGTTCTTGATCCTATGACAGACGTTTGAGATGACATCTAATCCGGATCACCCAACTACAACAATCCACTCAACCTTTGCAGTCACTTAATTTCTGCAGCTCCCCCTAAAGATCATACAAAGCTAAATACCGGCTCATAAATTCTATTAAAATGTAACCCGTGTAATAATATTAACAAACGGTACACATTAACACCAACAAACAACACTTCACAGTCCCTAAAAAGTCCTCAAAGAAGACTCTTAAATCCTTCTAGTAAGTAGATAAATATCATGACTTATAAATATCATTACATGGGCAACAAATCACCACTAGAGAAACTACAAGTAGATAAATAGACAAGTAGGTAAGAATGTAATGTTACCACTTAATAGTTAATATTAACAAATTAAGGGAATCAATTAACCAGGAAGGTTTCATTACGAATCTCTCTTTTGCATTTACCCAACACATTATATATATTATCAAGAAAACCAACAATCATATCATACATCTACAATTGTACATGCATCATACAATGTGCATATAATGTTCAAGTGAAGCTCGTGGAGGTATTGGCTGCATTTGTTTTTAAATAAACTACCCAAGCTTGTTTTGCCAAAACAATGGTCAACATAATAATAAGATACCTAGATAAGATTGGATAAAATTGTAGCATCAACAGCTTCCCGGGAAACAACAGCAATAGTACAAGTCCTGTTCATCAACTAAGAAGGACAACTGCTTTACGAGAGGACCTAGGGTAACTAAGCAGCTTTTGAGATATCTCAATAAAAATTTGAGGAAATGTTTTAAATAAAGAAACAGGGTATTCAATATGAATCTCCAACTTTTCTAACACTGTAGCCTTGTCAAGAAGAATCTGGACCAATGTTAGCAGTGGTTCACCAGTAAGAGCTGGAACTGCTACGAAGTCCATAATATTAACAGTCTTCAAGTGCACTAGGTTGCCATGCATTTCACTCCTTCCAACTACATCCCAAGTGATGGGTGGTCCGTCAAGATCAATGCCACTGATGGCCAATTCCTGAAGCATTGGAGAAGATTCAAGCAAGGCTACAATTCCTGACATTACATTTGCATCTGCTGAAGCATGTACATGCAAAATCTCTCGCCTAGACTCTGGAAGCTGCACGTCGTGCATCTCCACTAACATTGATAGCACCTCAATGCACATATGTGAGAATAAAAGGTACTTCACATGCAGAAGGGCTCCGACTAGATCCTCCAAATTACTCATCACCTCATAATCGTCGGCATCCCAATCATCAGATCCAATTAAAGAAATAGCCGCATGAGTAACAGAGGAGATGTTTGTTAGCCGCCACTTGTTTATCGGACATATTGATATGGACAAAGTCTGTACATGTGGTGCAGAGATTTCCAATAGAGGCTCAGATTCGCCATCTTCACGGTCTATTAGCACAAGCTCACTAACACACGGAGAATCGATCTTCAAACAACTGAGTCCCCAACATTGGCATAGAATCAAGAAATGCATCACAGGACAACCGGATAATATCTTTTCAATGACATGCTCATCTAATTTAACATCATTAAGGCTTAACACAGTCAAATATTTCCAATCAACATTTCTTTGAGGAACCAAATTGCATCCTCGCAAACTCAAATATGTAAAGCATGAACTAGAATACATACTCTGAGGGAGCTTATACAAAACTCCTTGTGGATTGAGCTCCAAAGTGACATCTTTGACCTTGTGTTTGACCACATATTCAACCCAACTATCAACATCTAAGGCAAAAGATTCATAGTAATGGAAATCGATGTATAATCTTTCCAGATAACTTTCTCTGCGAATACCAAGGGCACCATGAATCCTATTCACAGTCTTGAGTATTTTCTCAAGTTCACAACTTTTCTCCTTAAACCTCAGCTTAGGCAAGTTAGTCCAGAGATGTTGCCATCTCTTTGACAAAATACTAGCCCTTGCAGCTTTCTTAGTACTGAGAAAGGAGAGAATACAAATAAGTAAAGCATCCGGCAATGCGCTCAGCCTATCGATTGACATATACTTAACCTGTTTGTTCGATGACGGCACTGACATAGACGACATCGTTTCTCTGTCATTCTCCAGTGAAACGCTTTCTTCATTTTCCTGGACAAACTCTTCTCCTTCTCTTACTTCATTCTCCGCCGTGAAATCATCCTCTTCGCCCAGTTCTTTCATTCCTTCTACTTCCCCAGATTCTCCATCTCTGACTTCGTCTCCTTCTCCTACTTCCCTTTCTTCTCCTTCACCCAACTCTATATATTCTCCCATTTCTTCTCCAAATACTCGTGTTCCTTCTTCGCTCACAGCATTAATTAAATAGAATTTCAAAACAAGGAATAATTAAAGATTCAAACCTCACCAACCAAATCATATAGCAGCAGCCGGCACTAGACAAGATTAAACGGAGAAATGCCGATTCGCCGCCTGAAGCAAGAATTTGACTTTGCACCCCATATTTTAGGCCATATTAGACTTTGCACCCCATATTCAAAATCATTAATATTTGCACCCCATTAGCTCAAAAATTGTGAAGGAGTGGGATGCAAAGTCAAATGAGTATATAGTGAAATAGGGTGCAAATATTAATGATTTTGAAAATGGGGTGCAAAGTCCAATATTAACCAAAACATGGGGTGCAAAGTCAAATTCTCCCTTATCCCAACAATGTTTAAGTACAAGTAATTTTTAATTTACATTAACCGAAAATTATATATGTAGGGCCTATTTGGTAATGTTCAAATAGGTTGCATTGGCTAATCTTAGTTGGATTGACTAATTCTACTGATTTATTAAAAAAATTATATTTTAAATATACTCCGTATATTTACAAAAATAAATAGCTAAAATAATTATCTACAGTGATTTCAACCAATACAGTCAGAAGCGTAACTTCAACATTACTTTTTCTTAGTTTTACATAATCCAACGCGCGAAACTAAAAATTACGTGTTTAATGGAAAAGTTGATTAATAAGCCTGATAAGCTGAAAAATAAGGTCACCAAATGGGTTCGAAGGTTCTCTAACTTTTGATTATTTGCGCTTTTAATGTTAGACTTTAATAGGAAAATTACCTAAATAGGAGTAAACAGTTCTGATATAACAAAATAGGACTGTCATGTTTTTATTCCCTAAATATGAGTCATTTTTGCCAAGTTTGGCATTATCAAGCTTTAAACATGACAGTTTCTGTCAAGTTTAGAAAAAACTTGACAGAAATTACCCTTGTTTAGAGATTAAAAATATGAAGATCATATTTTAGAGTTTTTGCCAAGATTTTTACTCCTATTCAAGGCAATTTTTATATTTTAACTTATTCACATATCTGTTTGAATAATTAATAAATTTGTCCATACTAAAAAATCTTCCATTTGAAACAAAAAAAAAAGATCAACTAGTTTCATTCTAAAAGGTCAAATAGACCCTCGAACTAACTTAAAATGTGCAATTCACCCCTTATATAGGAGGCTCTGTCCGGCCGTCGCCATTTGGGGCGGTTCCCGAATGAACTTTTTGATGAAATTTTTTGAGCATCTTCTTCATTAAGTCTAGTTTACTCAGACCAAATTTCAGATAAAAATTCAACCAGGAATACGGTCAAATGGTTTTCTGGAATATGTTGCGCTGTTTAACTGCGCGGTTATCTTCAAAAATGATACGGAGTATGAATATATATGTTCTTTGTTCAAAGTACTTTCGTAAAAGTACACCGGTCCCCAAAGCAACTTCATATTTCGGTTTACGAGGATTGACAAATGATAAAGTAAACTGTTGGAAAATTGAGAGTATTTCAAATGAATAAAAATTACTTCTTTTGAGGAGAATTTATTAGACCCCTTTTTATATGATATTGTTTTAAATAAATCAATTATACAAGTTGATATTTTCAAATGATAATGTTGGGATATATTATCCCGGCCTATTACTGTTCAGGAGCCCAAGACATTATCCAGTACGGAGCCCGAGCAGCTAGGTCCATTTCGGCCCATTCTGGCCCACTTTGGCCATTAGGCCCGACATCGGCCCGTTTGGCCCATTAGGGTGGAGAGCCCCTTCTCCCCTTCCCCTATTTATAGGAGGTTTTCCCTCCATGTAAAGGATCCTTCCTTCTTTCTTCTTCTCCCTAGAATAGTTTGGCAAGACTCCATTAAAGGAGCTCAAATTGTACTATGTAATGGTGAGGAGAGATTAATGAGAATGAGAATGCTTGGACATTAGCCTAAAAAGTCCCGTGGTTTTCTCCCTTTCGGGTTTCCACGTAAAAACTGAGTTGTTCATACACATTTATACATATATTTACTATATCGTGTTGGATTAAACTCAACACTGGCGCCCTGTGGGAATCTGTCCAAAAAGATTCGTGTGTTCTACTGTTCTTGAGTTTCTACGAAAAATTCGTACGTAGTGGACTGATTCTAGCAAAGAAAAAAAAGAAAGAAAAAATCTGGAATTTTGGTTTGGGGAAGCTCTGGATATGCCGCCAGCAGCTCCGTCCAACCGACCGAGGAAGAAGAAAAGCAGAAAGAAAGGTTCTGGGAAAAAAGAAGAAGAGATGAAGTCCAGATCTGGAATTTTATAGACCGTGGCCGGAGCAGCCGTCCGTACCACCGCGCGCTCCACCAAGAGCTCGCTGATATACGATGCAAAAGCCGCCTAGCTTTTCCGGACCTCGTCATCGCTAGCAGCGCCGCCCTACGCCTCCGTCGCGGTGCGCCCGCCGGCCTCAGCTCCCCCTCGCTGCTCGAACCTCAGAGAGGGTCCGCCATTAATGGCCGCTGAGAGCTCCAAGAGTGACAACCGTAAACCAGTGCACCCCCACGGCTCGAGGTTAGGGAAGTTTCGCCGGTTATGCCGGAGTCCTGGCTAGGACCACGTGCACGCCACCGGTCTTTGTCGCTCCGCCACTAATGCCGCCTGAGGCAGCCTTGTCCCGGCCGTCATCAGCCGCTGCTGCGTTGCCACCGCTGCGTTGCGCACTACGTGGGCTCCCTTCGACCAGCTACAGCAGCTGAGTAGCAATCGGGCTACATATTGGCAGTAGGGGTAGCTGCCAGCTTGCAAAATGTGAAGGCTGGATGATTGGAGGCTTTTTGGCAATTTTGACCAAGTCAAAATCGGCAAGGATGAGCAAATTGTCTTCACAAGACCCCCTGGCCGAGTATCAACTTGAAGCTAAGTATTCAATCTCCGAATTCCAAATTAAAGTACTTGGCTGATAGCTTTAAAATAGGAAAAAAATATTAGTCGGTAGTATTGCTGGTATTTTTTATCACCATTATTTATTAGGGATTAAAACCCCCGAAATTAAATAATGAGAGCGATGCTCAAAGTGATAATTAGTTTTACCGTCATTTAAATTTAATGACTGGTTGTTGTGTGCCTGTTGGCCCGCTCCTGATCGGCTTTAATTAGCGAACGGAGTATACTTGAATGGCCTTTGATAGGGAAGTATCATTGCTATTACCGGTTATGTCACTATTATTTATTAGGGATAAAATGTCCCGAATTAAATAATACTGAGCGAGGCTCAAGTGATGGTTAGTTCACCTAACATTTTATTAAGTATTTGACTTCTTGTGGCCCCGATGGCCCACTCTCGATCAGCTTGATTTGCGATCTGAGCGTCTCCAGAGGGTAGTGCCCCGATGACGCGTATTAATTTGGGGGGTTACGCATTAGTCCGCACGACACCGAGTGCTCGAGCGATGATCGTACCCTGGTACCATCTACGCCATCAGGCGCAGAGTGACTATTGCCAACGCGGCCTGTGGGGCCCGAAGGCACCAAAGCACTCAACCTCGTTTTTCCGGGGGCGGTGCGACCAACTTGGGTCTGAGTTTGAAAACTCACAGACCGATGAATATCTCTATGTGACGTTCGGCGGGCTGCTAATTGGCCCCGCCGCGAGCTGCTACGTCCATTAACCCCGCACGATGAGCCGGGCCGAAGGTCACGGTGACCCATAGGCCGGTAATCGTGGGTGTTAGAAAGAAAACCATGCAGAGATGGTTATGTGTGTATACATATTGTCGGGTCGTGCGGCCCGTTACCACGCTTATTGCGCAGCTGAAGCCGCTCGACGCGCTCGAGTGAAATGATTAGAAGAAGCTCGGCCCGAGTCTTGAAGACGTGCAGGGCCGGCTAAAGAGGAGACCATCACGGCTGAGGATCGTTTTCTCGAGCATCTCCACCTAGAGGCCGAGGGCCTAGAGGAGACCACCACGGTTGAGAGCAGTGGGACGAGCATCTCCACCCCAGAGACCGATGGCCTAGGAAGAACACCTAGAGGCCGAGGTCTAGAGGCGAATGCCATGACAGAGAACCGTGAGACGATCACCCGTCATTCAGAGGCCGGGGGCCTAGAAGAGATCGTCAGGGCCGAGGGCCGTCTGACGCCATCATTACATCATGACCGGCCCCTCGGCACGGCATGATCATCATATTTGAAGACCGGCCTCGTCCCTGCACTGCGCGGATGAGAGCCGTTGCTGGATTGCAGGTCGGCCCCTCATTGCCGACACTGCCGCATCATGTTCGGCCTCTCATTGCCGACATCATCATATCACGACCGGCCTCTCGGCATGGCGTGATTATCATATTTGAAGACCGGCCTCGTCCCCGCCCTCGCAGACGAGGGCCGTTGCTTGATTCTTTCAGATCGGCCTCTCATTGCCGACACTGTCGTGTCATGTTTGGCCCCCCGGCCCAACGTGATTATCATCTTTGAAGACCGGCCTCGTCCCCCCCTCGCGGACGAGGACCGTTGCTTGTTTTTCTCAGATCGGCCGCTCATTGCCGACACTGTCATATCATGTCCGGCCTCTCGGCCCGGCGTGCTTATCTTTTGAAGACCGGCCTCGTCCCCGCCACCTCGCGGGCGAGGACCGTTGTTTGATTTTTTCAGGTCGGCCTCTCATTGCCGACACTATCATATTATGTTCGGACTCTCGGCACGACATATTTATCTTTTGAAGACCGGTTTCATCCCCGCGCTGCGTTGGATGAGAGCCGTTGCTCGGATATATCGGCCTGACCGGACACTATTACCATCTCCTCATCAGGACCGACTGCTCAGCGACATTATGATCATTGTTTGTCGGCTCCCAATGCCGACCCTCATGAGTTTGCGATCGGGCTCACGATTCCCCTCCAGGAGGGTGACCATCGCCTTCGCATGACGACCAGCATCTCCATCGCCTCGTCATTATATTCGTTCGCTATGCCACCACCATTATGCGTGACATCCCGTGATCCCTGTGAGTTTCTTGGATACCGAATGTCTTCTTCGATGTAGGAAGATCGATAGGACCACGGACCAGGGACGGACAAAGAAGAGCTAGGGAATCTCGATGTAGATAAACCGGTTCCTCCTTGCGAGTTTCGCGGATACCGAACGTCTCTTCGAAGCAAGAGCGCCGGTAGGACCAAGAACCAAGGACGAACGAAGAATATAGATTGCCTCCCTCAAACAAAAAAAAAAAAGATGGGGAGAAGAGGAGGGTAGCTCCTATGTGGAAGGGAATCTTGCCCGGGTTTTCCAGATCTTCTCCCACCGCCGAAGACGAACGCCTCTCGATGTAGAGGTTAGTAGAGACGCGGAGGGGGCTAGACGAACCAAGGGAGCCTTGCCAAGATAAACTTGTTCATCCCACAATGACCATGGATCGATGGACGTGGGATAACAAAGACGGGAACCCGTGAGGGTAAACCAGTTCGTCCCTGCGAGTTCCTTGGGTACCGAACGTCTTCTTCGATGCAAGAGACGCCGGTAAGACTAAAAGGACCAGGGACGAACGAAAAAGGGGGAATCTCGATGTAGATATACCTGTTCCTCATTGCGATGTCCGCGGATACCGAACGTATCTTCGATGTAAGAACGCCGGTAGGACCAAGGACCAATGACGAACAAAGACTAAAAGACTCCAAAAAAAAAAGAAAAAAAAAAAGATGCTTGAAGAGCACGGAGCAAAGAATGATTTTATCCCTTGGCACTATTGGACGGGAAGTACAAACTGAAAAACATATGTAAAGAATAATTACAAAACTTAAGTACGAAGAATGAAGTGGCCGACGACGATCGGCTAAACATCAGGCTTTCTTTCGCCTTGAACGACGGATACCAGCTCCTCAGATCAGGCAGAGGGACGGCGCCCAGGTCCACCCTCCCTCCCAGGATGAAGTCCTGACAGACGATCGGCTTCTCAGCGCCATCGTGTCTCTTTCACGTTCGGATCGCCCCATTCCCTCCAGGATGGCGACGAACGTCTTATGCAGTGCGATTGGCCCCTCAGCGCCATCGTACCTGGCCTCACGGTTCGGCTCGCCCATTCCCTCCAGGATGGCGACGACCGTCTTATGCGGTACGATCGGCCCCTCAGCGCCATCGTACCCAGCTCACGTTCAGCTCGCCCCATTCCCTCCAGGATGGCGACGAACGTCTTATGTAGTGCGATTGGCCCCTCAGCGCCATCGTACCTGGCCTCACGGTTTGGCTCGCCCATTCCCTCCAGGATGGCGACGACCGTCTTATGCGGTACGATCGGCCCCTCAGCGCCATCGTACCCAGCTCACGTTCAGCTCGTCCATCCCTTCCAGGGTGGCGACGAACGTCTTCTGCATCACGATCGGCCCCTCAGCGCCATCGTGTCCAGACTCACGGTTCGGCTCGCCCATTCCCTTCAGGATGGCGACGAACGTCTCTTATGCAGCACGATCAGCGCCCCAGCGCCATCGTGTCTGGCTCACGTTAGGGTCGCCCATCCCTTTCAGGATGGCGACGAACGTCTCTTATGCAGCACGATCAGCGCCCCAGCGCCATCGTGTCCGGCTCACGTTCGGCTCGCCCATTCCCTTCAGGATGGCGACGAACGTCTCTTATGCAGCACGATCAGCGCCCCAGCGCCATCGTGTCTGGCTCACGTTAGGGTCGCCCATCCCTTTCAGGATGGCGACGAACGTCTCTTATGCAGCACGATCAGCGCCCCAACGCCATCGTGTCTGGCTCACGTTCGGCTCGCCCATTCCCTTCAGGATGGCGACGAACGTCTCTTATGCAGCACGATCAGCGCCCCAGCGCCATCGTGTCTGGCTCACGTTAGGGTTGCCCATCCCTTTCAGGATGGCGACGAACGTCTCTTATGCAGCACGATCAGCGCCCCAGCGCCATCGTGTCTGGCTCACGTTAGGGTCGCCCATCCCTTTCAGGATGGCGACGAACGTCTCTTATGCAGCACGATCAGCGCCCTAGCGCCATCGTGTCTGGCTCACGTTAGGGTCGCCCATCCCTTTCAGGATGGCGACGAACGTCTCTTATGCAGCACGATCAGCGCCCCAGCGCCATCGTGTCTGGCTCACGTTAGGGTCGACCATCCCTTTCAGGATGGCGACGAAACGTCTCTTATGCAGCACAATCAGCGCCCCAGCGCCATCGTGTCTGGCTCACGTTAGAGTCGCCCATCCCTTTCAGGATGGCGACAAATGTCTCTTATGCAGCACGATCAGCGCCCCAACGCCATCGTGTCTGGCTCACGTTAGGGTCGCCCATCCCTTTCAGGATGGCGACGAACGTCTCTTATGCAGCACGATCAGCGCCCCAGCGCCATCGTGTCTGGCTCACGTTAGGGTCGCCCATCCCTTTCAGGATGGCGACGAACGTCTCTTATGCAGCATGTCTGCCTCTCGACGCTGACATGCTCGAGTTCTCATTGAAAGCTACCGCTCCTATCACATCTTGCATTCCCTCTCTCATACATTGCACCCATACATTACATGCATTCATGCATCATACCTCATACATTCATACATACACACGTGCATCATGTTTTGACAGTACCGCGACGTCGGTTTATAGATGCATGGACCTCTAAGCTTCTCCGTTGGAAAGCTCGAGTCAGAGTCCTTTACTCTCGCCTGATGCATTCAGGGGGAGCGTGCCCGTGGAGGAGCACCCTTCGCCCAACCCCGTCGGGAACGGGGGTGCCTCACCGGCAGATTACGTTCAGGAGTGTGGACATCCACTCATATATTATGATTATTCGAAGACACAGGTTCCAGCTAGACCGAGGTAAAGCGCAGGCAAGAGTATATTTTCTCGAGCAGATTCGCACGCTCACTACTCAAGAAACTGGGGGACTTGTGTTGGGATATATTATCCCGGCCTATTACTGTTCAGGAGCCCAAGACATTATCCAGTACGGAGCCCGAGCAGCTAGGTCCATTTCGGCCCATTCTGGCCCACTTTGGCCATTAGGCCCGACATCGGCCCGTTTGGCCCATTAGGGTGGAGAGCCCCTTCTCCCCTTCCCCTATTTATAGGAGGTTTTCCCTCCATGTAAAGGATCCTTCCTTCTTTCTTCTTCTCCCTAGAATAGTTTGGCAAGACTCCATTAATGGAGCTCAAATTGTACTATGTAATGGTGAGGAGAGATTAATGAGAATGAGAGGGCTTGGACATTAGCCTAAAAAGTCCCGTGGTTTTCTCCCTTTCGGGTTTCCACGTAAAAACTGAGTTGTTCATACACATTTATACATATATTTACTATATCGTGTTGGATTAAACTCAACAGATAACTTTAGACATTTATTATGTCCAATTACTTAACAAAGTTTTCAATCGGTTCAAATGCTTTACTTCATTTCTAATTGTGGACATTGAATTAAGCTTTAAAGGTCATAATGTGCTGCACGTTTTAATCTTGGGCATTTACTTTCAAGCGTTTGTCAAAATAGGAGTTAAATTAGCCATTGTCATTATTTTACATTTATTAAAATGTAAAACGTTATGTTTTACCTTCCAGTATATATTTGGTGCTTTGCAATTGGAAATCATAACCGACGGGAGAGATAGATTTCAAAATATGACTTGATCACATATGTTTGTTCTTACGGAAATATATACAAGGGAAGAGGGTTATCACAGGTGAAATGAAGAAGTGATCATACTACTCTTCAAATTAACAAATACACTTTTATTACTGGGCTCATATATTATTTTCTCCTCGTTAGTTTTGGTACCGGTTTCATAACCGAAGGGCTCGTTATATTTTGGGGAAATTTCCGTACGCCGGAAATAATTTCTTAGAAAAGCGTCTGACGCGTCTCGAACCACTAATATATTTTTAGTTCCTTTTAGTGATTATTTTGCAGGTCAATTCTCGGAGCTAGATGGTCAACGAGGCCAACTTAGTAACAACACGGTTAACACGTTGATTTTGGAAGGATAGCCAACATAACTGATCATTATCGACACTGAGATTATTTTTAACGAATAAAATTTACATATTTGGAAAGTTCATTAAAAATTCTACAATATCGCAAAAATAATAATTTAAATTTGATAAAAGTTTGATATACAAAGTAAATGATCAAGAGTGATTTAAGTTAACCAAATGAATACTGAAAGGGAAGTTGTTTAAGGGACGGATGTAGTATTACATTAATCAAAATAGTGGTCCAAATTTACAAGATGACAAAGTTTTTTTGGAACAGAGGTGGTGTGTTTTTAAATCCGTTGTCTCCTTTCCAGTTTCCACTTCATTTTCTACTTCAAAATGATTTCAATGTAAAAAAAATGAATGGGACCGAAAGTAGGACAAGATAGGGTGGTCGTGGTCCCAAAAAGTGAGGCTCTGACCTCTTTCCCACCATTCTGGTCTCGGTCTTGGCCTAAAACTTTATTTTTGATCCCGATTATGATTCAAAAACAGGTCGATCTTGGGATCGATGCCTTGTTCACCCATAATGTAAATCACAAAAGCAAGTATTTCAAATGCAAACTTAAATCAACTACAATAGTCTCCTATAAATAATTCACCAACAAATGTTTTAGGTATAAAACAACATTCCAAAAGTTTAGCTAAATTGTAATTCTAGAATGTTCATTCAAACTCGTTAGAATATTTTTATTATTTTTAAAAATATATTTCTCGATGATTTTTAGGTGATAAGTGATAAGTCTAATAATCTTTTTCATGTGAGAATAGAGAATATATGATTTGAGATGTGACAAGATTTCTACAATGGCAAAGATATTTTTGTACTTTTAAAAGTAAGAGATGTTTGTTGTTTTAAACATGTACTTTTCAATTGTCTGCTATTAATAATGATAAATATAGATGATTACAACTCTAACTCATATATAGTTTTGCACTGCTATTTGCATGCAATGTTAAAAGCTCAATTCCGTTTTTAATTCGTAGCTTCCCGGATTTTTATCATCTAATCTTTATTTCTAATTGCTTATAAGTCATGTTTCTTATTAAGATTTCTAAAATACTTTCAATCATAACACCTATTGATTTTTCACCACACAAAGAGCCCGTTTGGTGACTCTGTCTTTTGACTTATCAAACTTATTAACCAACTTTTTAATCAAACACATAACTTTTGATTTCGTGCGTTGAATTGTGTAATAATAAGAAAAAGTAAGGTTGTAGTTACTTTTCTGCCTGTATTGGTCGAAGTTACTGTAGATAACCATTTTAGCTATTTTTCAACTATTTTTTTTCTTTATTTTATTAACAAAATATATTTTACATTTTTTTCAATAAATCAGCAGTGTCAGCCAATTCAATACAGCCTCTTTAGCTAGAACTTTATAAATTTCATCAAAATCATTCGTTTCAGCCGATTTCAGTGTTACCAAACTGGCTCAAAGTGTCATGCATAAACAAAAAAGAAATGTGATTCTACAATATTTAAATATTTTTATTTTAGTTCTAATTAAAATTGCATTAAGCATTATATATACCTATATTTGAGTGACATTGAATATATATTCCTTGGGAGTGTTAAGGAACAGTTTGGGAAGTTGATCGACTGAAGCCCTAGCTAGCTCAGTAGCTTGACCATTAAGGGTAAAATGCACCAAACACCCCCATCTTATATAAATCATGCACAGCATCCCCTTGTGTTTTAAAAAATACACAAAACTCATTTATGTTTTGTAGAATCTTGCACAAAATCCCTTAAAATGGGGGGAGTATAATGTGCGTGTCATACACTTGCTATTTGGTGTGATTTTTTTTAATCTAATTTCAGCTTCTTGAGCTAAGTAAATGGCAATTTTACCCTTCTGCATGAAATGGATAGCTCTCGTTTTTGTGTGCATCTTCTTACACTTGAGATTAATATTATTTCAATCTATGTAATGTATGATAGAGCATATAAAATTTAGGATGCAAATCCAAAATTAAGTACTATCTTCGTTCTTAAATAAATACAACATGTTGAATTTTACACTATTTACATGTTCTACTTTGATTACGTTTTATTTATTAATGTATTAATATTTTTTATGAAAAAATATTGTTAATTTATCTCATTGTAAATTTTCAAAATTATATACATTAATGATCAAAGTAGTGTCTCGACAAGTGTGAAATATTGACCGTTGCATTTATTTAAGAACGGAGGAAGTACAATATTATTTTTTCTTTAGATCAAATAATTACTCTAATAAACAGACTGTGGTAAATTCATCATGATTACATATTGTTCCTTTAGACAATTATTTGTTTTCGCATTGACCAATTTTAAACATAAAAAAATAAGATAGGTTCATTATGTATAGTGTTTTAAAACATGATAAAACATAACTAGTTTATCTAAATTTAGTTTAACCTGCACGGATAAACAGAACTAGTGAATCAAGTTTTTTTGTCTAGTGATTATCAACTTTTTTGTGTAGTGAATCTCAAGTTTGAGTACATAGCATCAACTTCATTTCAAAACTCACAAAATAAAAAACATGAGCTGAAATACACTAATAAAATTTAGTAATTAAACCTAGAATTATCAACCAATATAATCTAACTTTGGAATATAGATAGTATAGAACTATTCCTAATGACATCAAAGTTGTTTAAAGTAATACACACACCCAAATATAACCCTAAGTTATAACTACAAGAAAAACTTCATAAATTAACCACAAATACAACTCAAATCAGATAAATAAAATAGAAACGGCACACAAAATTAGCATCACACATATGTAGTTGTGCTGAATTTATAATATTCAATATTTGCACAAAATCATGCACATACCCGTAAGTTACTAGCATATTAGAATTAGGATGTTTTCTTTTGGATTGAAATTTGCTGGTCTGGGCTGGTCAACGTAACGTTTGGTATCTGTGTATTTTATAACTACGGAAGTCAAGTCTGGTCTGATCTGGTCAGGTCTGGTCTGGGACTGAAAACAGTCCAAAAGAAAACATCCTTAGTAGCAAGCTGCTCTTATTTTCCATCACATATATTAAGGATGTTTTCTCTTAAATGAACTTGTTGGTCTGGTCTGGTCTGAACTGATCTAGTCTAGTCTGATAAATGTCTGATCTCTATGCATTTTATAATTACGGAAGTCTGATTTGGTCTGATCTGATCTAGTCTAATATGGTCTGATCTAGTCTGGTTTGATCTGGTCTAGGACTGAAAACGGTTCAAAAGAAAATATCATAATTAAGTAACCTATGGAGTTGAAGAATGACTAGAAGAATGGGGAAATTAAAAAAATTATTTGCTAATTGCTACCCTAGCCTATGTTATTATTCTTGCTCACGATGACTTTTTGGGTGGTTGAATGGTGATGGTGGGTTTTAATCCATGGTGTGGGTGGGTGTTAATGGTGTGGGCGGTGTAATAGTGTCGTAATTCAATGGGGTATAAGAGGATATTTATAAAGTAGAACTAATCCTTGAATTTTATCTGCATATGGGGAAGGTGAGCAGGATTTATTAAAACTGAAGGGAGTTTGATGCTTTTTCAGTAACACAAGGGGATTATATGCATGTTTTATATTACATGAGGGGATTTGGTGCAATTTACCCTGACCATTAAAGAGCAGTTTTGGAAGTTTTGACACGAAGAAGGGCGAGCTTGGGATGGCATGGAGGTTGCAGGAGCTTGTTTTACTCACTCATCATGGAATGCAAGCTCCTGAAACCCTTCTTTTTCAGATATTAATAGTTCACGAATGTCTTATATTGAAATTCACACAAGTCTTCTAAAATCCCATATTGATACAAATCTAAAATGTCCTGAAAAGTCTATGCAAAACAGCCATAAATATATTAACTTCACATCTTAAAAAAATCATAGTAAACCTAACCACAAGCATTGATCTTTTGGGATCGGAAAATTGGAGACTAATTAGGAATAACATATTTTTATAGTTTGATATTTCAATCCGATTTGATTTCAGAAGTCAAACTAAAAAAAAAAAGTTAAAAACAGACTTGTTGTTTTGCTTCGATTCATTCTGTTTATGGTTCACTTTTTGTTGTTTCAACTTTGATTTCACAAACACGAACCTATTTCTATGGGAATACATCACAATTCACAATACTACGGAAATTTTAGAATTTCTTCATTTCAGTTTCCTAATCAATCAGTCACAGCAAAAATTCGTAGTAGTAAATTTCCTAAACTATAAAAATATCCGCATTAATAGTAATGCTTTATTCATTTTACCTTTTGTAAAAAGAACTTCAAAACAATGACATTGTAATAATGGTTATGCTTTATTCGTTTACTAGTATTGTACCCGTGCGATGCACGAAATACTAATATATTTATATTTTGTATCCATTTCAATTTTCAATATGGTAAAAAGACGAAAATATAAATACTCTACAACAAAAAATAAACTACCATTATGAAAGGTTAATAGATATATACACACATCAATTGTACATGAAAGTGCTTAGTGTGCCACCAATGTTATTTATCAATATTTTGAATATCTCACACATTTGGTGACTTAGGACACTATAACACACACACACACACACACACACATATATATATATATATATAGGTGGTTGTGACAAAAATACGACATTTCTATAATCAATTTTAATGAGAAAAATATATATTATCCTTGACTCATGCTAAAATCTAAATGACATTCTGACATATAGAGCGACTATGACTATAGTTTTTATTATAATGTAAATATTGAACACATGTGATTATGATTAAGGTTACTACTATAATTACTTAACTTAAAAAGTCACATTAAAAAACATTTGTAATCATAAATATGCAATTACCTATATTTATATCAATACAAAAGTACACATTGTTAAATTAGTGGACAATCTTAATATACCGAGGACTGCGTAATTCGTATTACATATTGGGCTTGAGATTACATTAGGTATGTTTGCGAACAATTTTAAAAAGTGATTTTTCCCTTTTAGTTTAAAAAAACTGGAATTAACTATTATTATTAAGCATTTTCTTCAAAATCACGTTAAAAAGTCACTTTTCATAAACCAAAAACAATTGCAAACCCCTCTCTAAGGCCGCTATTTTACTAATTCTTTCTACGATTATAATCGAGTGATCGACCATAGTCACCACACCCCTGAAGGCTTTGGTGTCTGCAATTCGATCACCGTTTACCTCCCCCCAATAACGTATTCATTTTTTGCTCTCCATGTTCATTGAATCTCCACGGCCTCAAATAGTCAATCCTATCATTTTTAAACAAAAATTATGTGATGCTTCAATTATCCAGATATGACCCAATTGTTATTTGCTATTATCATGGACAGGTTTTTTTTTTATACTTGTACTACATCCGTCCCATTAGAAGGTTCTCGTCCACTATTCACATGGTCAACTTAAATCATTTTTAATCTTTCACTTTATATATCACATTTTTATCAAATTTACATTTTTTATCATACTTTGTAGCGGTTTTAATGTAGTTTCTAAATATGTAAATTTTATTCACTAAAAATAATCAGAACGTGAATTGGGATTAAGTTGTTTTATCGTCAGTCAAGTATCATAAACAGTTCACTGGAATCTTATAAGTAATTAAACATCAAATGAATTTCCTACATTAGATAAGATATTTGTTTGATTGGAATATAATTTTCCAGGAAACCTTAAATTATTATGCCGTGCGCTGGTGTGTAGAAATTATATCACATAGGTATAATAGAATACTTTTTGCAAGTGCTAATATTTAGCATTAATATAATATATCCGAATGTTTTTTATGTCGTGCGCTGGTATGCATTACTACGTAGTATTCTAATACATAGGTATAATAGAATACTTTTATAAGTTAGGTTATTAGAGACTCATTAAATAGTCCAAGGAAAAGAGATTTGTAGATACCTGGAATGTTTTTTATTGCACGGTTAGAGTCCATCTTCCATAACATGTATATGTAATTTATAGAGCAATGTGGTACTGATTGAAAGTTTGAAACTGTTGAGGTTTAAAACTTAAAAGGCAACGAATTCAAGGGTCATGCTTATTTGCCCATTCAAAAAAGGCAACGAATCCAAGCGTCGCTTATTTGCCCAGGGATGGGCCCGGTTAGGGTCTTGAACCGGCCGGGCCTCAGTTCAAGGTTTGGGAGGCCCGGAACCGGCCCGGGTAAACCCGGGTCCGGTTCGGGCCGGGTCACCCGCCCGGTTCACGGGCCGGGCCGCCCGCCGGGCCGGGCCTTATAATTTTTTCTTAAATTATATATTATATTATTATAATAATTCTTATTAAAAACAAAATTCAAGTGCATTTATTTGAAATAGGAAGTACATTTGAGAATTGAGAAAACAATAACAATATGAAATACATTTTATAATAAATATCAATTGGGATACATTTAATGAATTGATGTACACAATAATATAATATAATTCAAGTATATTTATTCCAAATATGAAGTACAATTGAGAATTAGGATGCATTTAAAAAATGTAATACATTTTGTAATAAAAAATCAATCGGAATCTCCGCCTTCGGTGGTTGTTTCCTCCATAAAGTGGCGGGTGGGAGCGATAGTCATTTCTTGAGTTCTTCGTTTGGCCTTCAACCAATCGTGGAAGCAAACTAGCGTCTCAAGAGAGCTCGGGCTCAACCTCGTTCTACAATCTGTTAGGACGTTGCCCGGCCGCACTAAATTCTTAATATGACAAATGTAAAAATTTACTACCTTTTTTACTTTAATGAGAAATGTAGCAAGTAACTAATATTAATATGAGAAATGTAACAATTAAGTAGTTTAACTAATATTATTATGACAAATGTAAAAATTAACTAGTTTTTTTACTTTAATGAGCAATGTATCAATTAACTAATATTAATATGACAAATGAAACAATTAAGTACTTTAACTAATATTAATATGACAAATGTAAAAATATACTACTTTAACTATTTTTTTTCTTTAAAGAGAAATGTAGAGAAATGTAGAGAAATGTAACAATTAACTCATTTAATAGATAAATGTGAAGTCTAACAATTAACTACTTTTATAAAATGTATGAATGTGTATAAGTCTATATAGTTTATATAACTTGTAAATGTATTATAAGTAATATATAATATAATGTTTATAGTATATAATATATAAGTATATTACTATAAGATGAGTAATACACTTATACTTAATACTTTAATATATATATTGTTGGGTATATTATCCCGGCCTACTACTGTTTAGAGGCCCAATACACTGCCCCGGTACAGGGCCCCAGTTAGCAAGGATCATTTAGGCCAACCGGCCCGTTGGGACCTACTCGGCCCCATTCCGGCCCAACAAGGCCCATTGGCCCATGGAGAAAACCCTTACTCCCTCCCCCATCTATAAATAGGAAGGTTGGCTTCCTGATGAAAGGATCCTCTTTTTGGTTCTCTTCTCCTGCATTACTTCTTCTTCCTTAGATTAGAGTAGTTATTCAAGCTCCATTAATGGAGACTTCAACTTTTGTATTATGTAAAGGAGTGATGGGAGCAAATTAATGAGAAAGAGCGGGCTTGGACGTTAGCCTAAAAAGTCCCGTGGTTTTCTCCCTTTCCGGGTTTCCACGTAAAAATAGCTAGTTCATACACCTTTTATATATTTATTCACTTTTATACCGAATCCATCGTCCTTAATATCCGAAGTTCATGTTGGGCTTCCGGATCTACGGGACTAAACCTCAACATTGGCGCCGTCTGTGGGAAACATATCAAAAAGATTCATGTGTTCTTGATTTTTTACCAAAAGCTACTGTTTTCATCAAGGAACGAAGGGAAAAAGGAGGAAAAATTCACATGTTCTAAGGTTTACATCTTTGTTTTGAGTTCCAAGCTAGTTCACTGGTCAACGACGGTGAAAAGCACAGCAGCAGAGTAAGACCTCCTGACCCAGTGAAACAACTTCAGCAGCTTGGCCATAGATCAGATCAAATCTCTGCACCCAACAAACTTCGGCAGCAGGAGTCCAAGGAAAATTGAGGGAAATGATGGGTGGGGCCCGCGTGCCCACCACTTTCCTTATCCTGACAACACTTTTTGATGATTTGACATAATCCCTCTTATCCAAAGAAGAGAAGCCGAACACCGAACGGAAGCTCCCGAACGCCCCTCCCAGGAGACACTTCCGGCCAACTGGCGTCCCAACCTCTGAAACCCCAAGACATCTCTAGGAAAATTCGGACCCCAACCCGAACGAAATCTCCTGGACGATGCAGTGCCCTTCAATACATATCCACAAGGCACGAATGCCGATCGGGGGCTTCAAAACTCGAACAGATAGTTACATGCCATTCAGGAAACTCAACATGTGGGCAGACTTCAAAAAGAATGAGGACCTCCATCTCAACCGTTTCTAACGAATGAATTGTAGATGTCCAAAGCACTAACATGATCTTACAAGACTCTGCTCATCCATTTTAGGAAGGGTGATCATCTGAGAATAGGGTACAAACTTCACTAACATTTACCGAACGGGAATATGCAGAACCAGCCCATGCTGAACGCCCCCTGCCTATTCATTTTGACAAATTGACCGGAAGGGAACATGAACAGTCCTGTGCAGCGATTACCCGAACGGCCTTCAAGGCAATAGCAGACCTGTGCAAGGCATCTCCCGAACGGCCTTCAAGAAGATCAACGGTCCAGTAAGGGAGGGGATCTTTACCTGAGCTGGAACCCATTAAGACAAAAGGCCGAATCTGCCCGCACGGAGTCTCAACCAGCCTGCCGAACGGGAGGAGAAATCCACAAAGATTGGGGAGCGTAAGTTCGATAAATGTCTTCAAAGCATGCTGACTTTCGAACGGGAGTTCTGCTAGATGGCCAAACCTCATCATCTAGGGAGGAACGAATACTTCCGGTCGCCTTCTGACGGCTGCCGATCGCCGAACGGACCAACCCACCGAACGAGCTCCACCACCCGTGATTCTGGACTTCCATCCTGATGGATCTCTACCCGGCCGATAAAGGACCAGATCATATTTGCTCTAAAAGTGGGCTGGATCGTGGTTGCCTCCAATTGGCTCTTTGTTGATGGGCCATGTCCGCTGCAGCATGCTAAGTTCATTCGGCATATCCAAAAGAGCTAAGTGCCTAACCAACTGCTCTTAATTAACTATTGAAATTATCACTATTAATTAATTGCATCACCATTATTTGGTAAGGGTTACATTACCCCAAGTTAAGTCGTGACGGACAGACGGGGCTAGACCCAAGTGAATAATTAATGTTAGTAGGCTGTTAGCCTACCCCGGTCGGCCTTAATTAGCAATCGAGGCATCTATGGACCCGCTCGGTGAGGCCGAACACCCATGAAAATATATTAGATAAAGTGATGTATTAATACTTCTGAGCGATTATTTGTTTAGTAGGGATTAAAATATCCCAAGCTAAATAATGGCTCCAATAGATAAAGTTCACCGTCATTTTAAAAGTTAAAGGACGGGGTTAATGGGCTGACCGGCCTAACCCCACGATTGGGTGTAATTGCGCGATCGGAGTGTCATCGAAGGGCATCACTCCGGCGACGCGTTTTAATACAATGAAGTCCCGATAGGCATCGGGCGTTAATACATTAAAAGTATTAGTTGCTATTGGTTGAATACCCTTTACTTAGAAGGGATTAAAATTCCCGAACAGAATAATGCCGAATGAAGTTTTATTATAAGTTCACCAACATTTTAATTAAATGCTTGGTTTGACTGGGCTTGTCGGTCCATCCCCGATCGGCCCAAATAATATTGACTGAACCGCCTTTGGAGGACATTTTCTCGGTGACACGTTTTTTAAATTCGAAGCCACCCATGAGTCTGTTCGGCATGGGTCGGACATCCATGAAAATATTAAATAAAATGATGTAGTAATATTACTATTAGTTACACATCGCCATTATTTGTTTAGTAGAGATTAAATTTCCTCAATTGAATAATGACCGAGCGAGACTCCAGTGACAAGTCCATTATCATTTAAAATTAAATGATTTGGTTTAATGGGCCGACCGACCAACCCGCGATCGGCTAAATATAAGCGATCGGAGTGCCCCAAATGGTATTACTTTGACAACACACCAAGTACTCATGCATGAGAGTATTCATTGGTTGATTAAATAGTATTCTTACTATTAATTGCAACACCATTATTTTAGTAGGGATTAAAATTCCCGAATAGAATAAGGCCGAACGGAGCTTTATAAATAAGATCACCAACGTTTTAAATAAATGTTTGGTTTAAATGGCTGATCGGTCCACTCCCGGTCGGCCTAAATGAATTAACTAAAGCGTCTCGCAAGGGCGTGGCCCAATGACGTAGTTAAAATTAGATACCATGAGCGGTTCCGCTCGGTATTAAATGCCCGAACGACAACTATACCCACTACGGGGCAAAATACGTACTTTAATTAGCTGAAAGCTTTCCTGAGAACGCCCGGGAAACCACTAGGTGGTTCTAAAAGCGTATGGGCAGTTCAAAAGATAAATCTAGGCCAAGGGTTATCATTACCCGCTTCGGCCGATAGTCATGGATGAAAAATAAAGAATAAAAAAGAAATGTTACACATGTGTGTGTATATACTTGTATATGTTGATTCGTCGTTCGACCGTATTACCATGCTGATTGTGCAGTGAAATTCGTTCGATATTCTCGAACGGGGAGATCATGAAGCACAGAGATGTTCATGACGATTCGGCATGAAGCGCGTAGACATTCATGACTGGCAACAAGAAAAGAATCACATTTATTCAAAGACGTTCATGACGCACAGAGATG